AGTCTAATGAGTGATATTATATTAAGTTTGTCTATGCAGTTATGACATTGTTGATGAAAGGAATCGTGTAAAAGTGACTAACAATTAGTTCTTAATTGTAGGTTCTTATTTTGTATGTTTTTGAAATTCATTATGGAATCTGGTATGACGGTCAGGTCAGGAAACGACACACTAAATCTTGGGTGAATGAGCTTTGGCAATAGAAGGTTTGCATTTGTGGATTGAGTTATTAATGAATTGGCGAAGGCAACAAATATTCATCCGATAAAGCAAGCTAAGGATCAATGTCATTAAGAAAACAATATAGAAGTTTTATTTTTAGGTTTAACATTTGTGTATATTTTTTAGGTTTTTTTTATAATTTTGGATTTGTATTGTTGTAAGAATTTTGAATTATTATTAGTAAAAATTTGTTTTTTTGTTTACATTGTATGTATATTTTCATTTTATAATATAAGTGTGTGACTGAAAATAATAATAGTATTGATAAAAGAAAAAAACAATGATTATAAGCACTTAATAGTGATAATTTAATTACATTATGTGTGACTACAAGTAACAATAGTCGTCATAAAAAATTTATTGTGACTATGAGTAATGTTATGTCATGGTTTAATTTATTATGTGTGGCTAAATAATTGAAAGTATCTCACTAACAATAAATTCACGTGGTTGTTAGATGAACAATAGTCATTATAAAAAAAAATGTACATGCGTCTATAAAGAGTTTATAGTCACAATTTTTGGACAAAATGCTTGATTACAAGAACACTTTTACCATATTTTTCTTAAATTGATGTGACTAAAAACTCAATAAACAATCTTTCAAGTGACTAAATAATAGGTACGACCACACTAACAATAAACTCATGTGGCAGTTGTATGGGCAATAGTTACAATAAAATATTGTTTTTGTGACTAATTATCTGCATATCGCCACTTATGAAATTAATTATGTGTGGCCATTTAGTGAACATTGCCATGTTCACCGTAATTGCATGTCTGCAAAAGATACCCAATAGTGTTAATAAACTTTGAATTGTGTGACAGTTTATTAGCAAAACGCCACATTGAAACAAAATGTATGTCGTCGTTGGTGATAAACAGTCACTACAATTACTAAAAAATGTGTCTACTGACGGTTTAACGCCACAATATTGGATAAAATGATTGATTTTAGCAACAAAATTCCCTACCCAATAGCCACACTTTTATAATACGGCCACATTTTTTCATATCATACGAACACTACATTTTAAAGTGACCATAAGACTCATACGATGGCGTCACCTTCTGTCACACTTTCAGTGAAAAAATAAAATGTCACTATACGTATATGGTCACTCTTTTTTGGTGTGACTATAAGTCATTTTTCTTGTAGTGATATAACCATTTTTAACATTCTAATTGGGTAGCAATAAGAAGTACAAAGTTATATAAAGCTAAATGGGGAAGTTTGAATTGGGAACTTCAACAATACAAAGCAAATTTACATGTTTCATGCATTCGAATACAATAGCCTTTTCTTCTAAACAAAAGACAACAACATCAAGACATTTGGCAATGAAATTTGTGTAAAACAAAAGAATAGAGACAACTTGATATACTATTAAAATGACATACGAACAAGTTATTAAATTATTCATGCCATGGTTCTATTAATAAAGTTTCCTTTCTTGCATCTTCTTCTTTTGAAATATTTTATTGGCCTTTTCTGCAACTGGACAAGCATCATATGTGGTCTGAGGCACCACAACGGGTAGTCACCATATCACCTGAAGTTGGTAATGACTTTCGAAGTTGCATCAAGATAACTACAATATGTTATGTGTTTGGGCTGAATATAAAATTTGAAGCTTCCTGTAAGTAGTTAGATCCAACAAGCTTTTGTCTTGCAATTTGTTTAGCAAATTTACAACATCTGACTGATCAAGCAAATAGAATGAGAGACAGTGGACCAGCAACATTACCTTATATATGTAGATTCAACATCTAGAATGCAAAATGATCATTAATAAAACCTAAACACAATGATCATTATGTTCATTATACAAGAAAACATAAGTATAATCAACCATTAATTTTCCCTATTTACTAATTGCTTTTCACTGCTATTTGATTAGATGAACAATTCATAGTGGTAATCTAGTTATTGGGCAAGGTAAAAAAGAAGAAAAAAAAGATACATGCAACCAGAAGAGAGAGTAGACTGACCATTTAATAATCACTACAGATGATTATAACACCTTGCAGATATGATTGGGAGATCTAGAGGTCGATGTCGCTACAACAGTTGGCGGTGACGTTCTAGATAGGAGGAGGAAGACGATTTATTGAAGACCGGAGAGGGAGAAAGAAGGAGGAGAAGGGGGCTGTGTCGATGAGTAGAAAAAAGAAAACGCCTCCCATATGTTAAGTGAAAAATGTAATAGCTGAATTGAATTATTAGTAAGTTATTATTATCGTTTTCCACCAATATAAAGCTCAAATGAGTGTTTGAAATTGGGGTATGGGAAGCAGAGGCGGGAGCCACACCACATGCACCGGTTATAAGAGAGGGAAGCATTGTTTGTGAAACGAAATCCTAGCGGGAAACTCGACTTCTACAGATTAGTTCTTAAACTACGCCCTAGTTCAGTTTCGACTTTCGAGCAGGTAAATTATGTTTCAAAATTTTTTGATCATGTGGCCTTTTCTCAAGTGATTTTTGATTGATATGGATTTCATGCTAATGCAATAATGCGTGATCACAGCTTCATGTTTGTTAATACCAAACCCCGACTTTTTGCTCCAACTTTGAAAATCTTTTGACCTATCTGTATCAATAAGATTGTGTACGGCTCAGCTCACTTAGAAACTCCGGATTGATTCATTTCAGTTTAATATGATTCTGATTTCTTAGATATAATGTTTCCATTTTAGATTTTTAGAGATTAGACATGTCAACATGAAACATTGAAACTAATTATTTGGGTAATTGGGTCATAACTATTAGCTCATTATGGCACGAAACTAGTTATCTTTACTCTTTAGAAGTTAGAACAATGCACATCCATTTAAATTTGGTATTTTTTGTTTCATGTAAGGATTTGATGACAAGAAGCATGACACCAAGGTAAGGAGATATATTGTGGTTGCCTTTACCTTGTCTATTACTTTTGTATCCTATGTGGAATTTTCATTTACCAAGATCTCTAGTATTTATGTTTCTTTTGCAAGTGTGGGGTTACCTTGGTTTTTTGATATTTTGTTGGTCTGACATGATACCTGTGTTTGGATGATTTAGACTCTTTTCTAGACCTGCTAGCAACCTATTCCTAACTACAAAGTACAAACAACCATATCTGTATATTCTCAACAAAATCAATATTAAGTCCCTGACTGTTTCATTTCTTTGTTTACATATACAAAAAAAAAGACCATGTTTATGCTACTCTTATAATTAAGATCATGGTATTGTGTATCATAGTCATCCATGTTATACTCACTTGAAGTTTTTAATTTCACTTTTAGGACCATGGGTATTATTCATATACCATGGTGAATGCCTTAACATCTTGTGTTTGTTTGAAATTCAATTATTTGAGAAGGGTAACTTATGTATATACGTGTATGCTTGTCCCCATTTCATAACTCTTGTAATTTTGTGTAATTTGATTTGCATCTCTACCAAGCGCTTAAACATGTATTTTTCTTTTGCAAATTAGTATATGAATGGCTAAGATGAGGAGCATGGCTAGAAGCCAGAAGGCTATTCTCGTCTTTTCACCTTCAATGTCTGGGTGAGTGTTTGTTGTGTTATTATGGTTTTGTATAGCGGGTAAAGGAGCATGGAATCATGTCTCCTGCGATTTCCACATCCGTGATATATATATATATATATATATATATATATATATATATATTTATATATATATATGCTTTTAAGGGGAAAATGTATACTCTAAGCTATAACATCTTTTATCCTTTACATGACTGCTTTCGTTTATGTGAACCGAGACTCAATCCAGAGCCTAAATTTACAGGACTCGTAACCAAGAGTCCTTCCCAATTCCATCCGCAATCATTTGTAAGTTCAAATTTTATGCTTTTAATTGGCTTTAAAATTAGATCAAATAAGGATATTTCCTTATGTTGGTTGGGTTTAGTATCACCATGTCATTTTAAGTAACTGGAACTAACATGTGAGCTAAGGGGCTTCATAATTTGTACTCTAATATATGTACGGAGTTGTGCGGAGTGCACGCATGTATAAGATCGAATTAGAAGCCGGTTCGACGACTAGTCGGGGGTCCGGGGGCAGCGCCCCCGGGTCCGGGGTTTCGAAAGGGGCAGCGCCCCTTTGGCGGGGTCTAGGGGCAGCGCCCCTAGCGGGGTCCAAGGGGCTCTGCCCCTGGCTGGGGTCGAGGGGTAGCGCCCCAAAACCTCACCGACTTTTACATATGGGAACATAGTGGAAAATTCAATTTCTTGAGGGTGATTATGGTAAAACTAACGACACTCGTTAGTTTTGGTAACCCTAAATCCTCATTAAATCCGGATTAATATTACTTGCTTCCAAAGCAACTAATGACGGCCCAACCTAATGAAACCCTAATCTTGTTTAATATATAAATAGCTCTTCCTCTACAGAAGGGGGTTACGATCTTAAGCTCTCGTTTTTCATCATAATTTCACAGAATCCTCTAGCATATTGGCTTATGTTTTTTGTGCCTAGAAACGTAAGTGTCCACTTGGATTATCCTAGGCTGAATTTCTTGTAACCCAGACATAGGGTAGAAATATCAGTTCGGAAAGTGATATCACGATCCAAGTTGGTATCCAGATCTCCACCAAAAACCCTAAATTTCCCTACACCTTATGTTAGGAAAATTGGGTTCTCGATCCTCATATGGAACGTATTACAAACTTGTACGTCCTGCCTCTAGCTATCTTTTCTAATAATATTTCTTGTCGTTCAAAAAAAAGAAAAAAAAAAGAAAAGAAAAAGAAAAAAAGGAATGGCTAAGACGAGGAGCATGACTAGAAACCAGAAGAATCATGATGATGCATCTTCCTCTAGCAGGAAGAGGCCGGAGTCTTGTGCATCTTGGTCAGATTTTGACCACAATCTGCTTGCTTTTTTAGTTCTTATGCAATTGGGAGTTGTTGATTATCTTTCATTCGGTGGAGTTTGCAAGTCATGGAGGTCACTTGCAGTCTCTAACAGGAACATGTTTATGGGTACGAGACCACCCATCTCCATATCTTCTATCTGTTGTCATGCTTATGAGAACACCTACTACCTAGTGGACTTTGAAGGAAGAAAACTCAAAATCCCCCCCCCCCCAATTCTGCTGATGCTACGTGTATACGATTGACTTGTGGTTACTTGATTTTCATGAAGACAACCCTGTGACTTCTGTCTTGTAAAGCCTATCACAAGTAAAAGACTTTAATTCCCTGATTCCCCCCTTTGATTACGATCCTGGTAGCCCTACAGTGGGCAGGGATATCCTTGTCTTTTCACCATCAATATCTAGCTTGGTGTTTGTCGTGTTACACAGGGAAGGAATCTGGTTTTGTATAGCGGGTAAAGGAGCATGTAATCATGTCTCCTGCAATTTCTTCATTATTCGTGATATATATGCTTTCAAGGGGAAAATATATACTCTATGCTATACACCCGTAATTCTTCTGATGAATGCTTTTGTTTATGTGAACTGAGACCTATGATGCACGAAAACTCCATGGAGGGTTATGTTCTCGTTTCGGAAACGGATACACCTTGGATATGTCAAAGAAACATTTCGTTGAAGTATCGGGAATGCAGGAAAGGTTTCGTTCAAGTTTCATGAACGTTTCTATTTTCTTTTAGGTTTCCCATTGCGTTTTTAAATCCAAAAACGGCTAATAGACTATACATATTCTCCTAATTCCTAAACTGGTCGACTTTTTAACTCCAAAAATGTTTCCATATCCCATTTGTCGTCGATCACTAATTCACCATTCACCATCACGCATCATCATTCTTCTATTGATTATGGCTTCTCAAGAACAAGAAACATAAGGATCATCATCGACTACATCAATAGACCAACCTCCATTGTGGGACTATGTGACTAAATCGGAAAAACTTGTTGGAGTAGGAGGATGTTGGAAATTTAAGTGTAACATTTGCGGTGAACCCCGACAAGGATCATATTCTAGAGTTAGAGCATATTTGCTTTGTATAAAAGGTAATTTTTGCAGTGTTTGTATTATGATTTTCTGATTTTTTTTCATCCTTGGATTTCTATTTGCAATATAGGTAGTGGGATTTCTATTCACAAGAGAGCAACAATGACCGACAAACTTAAGATGAAACGATTAGAAGATGTGTATAAAGAGAAGAAAGTCGAGTCACAAGCGAAAGAATTCGAGTTGCCATGTAAAGTTGGTGTTGGATTTAAGAAAAGAAAAGGTATTTCAACACTTATTGAAAGAGTTTTTGGTGTTGAAACTAGGGACCAACTGGATCAAGAAATAACAATGATGTTTTATACCGGAGGTTTACCTTTTAATCTTGCGAGAAATCCACATTATCTCAGGGCTTTTCAGTTTGCTGCTAACAACAAAATTGATGGTTATGTACCTCCAGGTAATAATAAGCTAAGAACAACATTACTACAAAAAGAAAAAGATAATGCTTACAGGCTGATGGATCCACTTAGGTCTGCATGGAAAGAAAAAGGTGTGACTATTGTGAGTGATGGTTAGAGTGATCCTACAAGAAAGCCTCTTATCAATTTCATGGCTACCTCAGGTAATGGTCCTTTGTTTCTAAAGGCTGTGAGTTGTTTTAGGGAAGTAAAAGATAGATTTTATATTGCTAAATTAATGAAAGAAGTCATCAATGAAATTGGTCATCAAAATGTTGTGCAAATCATTACTGACAATGCAACAAATTGTAAGGCGGTTGGAGAGATTATAGAGAGTTAGTTTTCTCACATCTATTGGACACCATGTGTTGTTCATACGCTTAATCTTGCTTTGAAGAACATTTGTTCACCAAGGAATGTGGAAACAAATGAACTAACATATGAACAATGCAACTGGATAAAAGAAGTTCACGAAGATGCGCTTGCAATATATATATATATATATATATATATATATATATATATATATATATATCATGAACCATAGCATTAGACTCTCGATTTTGACCAAGTTTGTGAAAGAATATATTTTGAATGATGAATGGTTGGACAAATTAACTTATATTCTTAGTTTCGTTGGACCTATATATGAAACGATTAGAATTTGTGACACCGACAAGCCATGTTTTACACTTGGTGCATGAGATGTGGGATTCAATGATTGAGAAAATGAAGATTGAGATCTACAAGAAATATTGGACCAAGTGTAAACATGGCTTGTCGGTGTCACAAACTCTAATCGTCTCATATATAGGTCCAGTGAAACTAAGAATATATGCTACTTCGTCCCACTATTCATCATTCAAAATATATTCTTTCATAAAGTTTGCTTTCTCAGTGTCATCTAATTTATAAGAAGACCATTCTTCGCTTATGACCATAGCTTGAAGACCCCTTTTGATAAGTTTTGATCTCTTGAGTATCACAATGATGGAGGAAAAGGGAGTGTCGAGAACTGAAAGTAGTTTAAGTGGAGTAAACTTGGTGAAAAATCGAGAGTCTCATGTTATGGTTCATGATGAAATTTTTTATTGCAAGCGCATCTTCGTGAATTTCTTTTATCCGTCTGCATTGTTCATATGTTAGTTCATTTGTTTCCACATTCCTTGGTGAACAAATGTTCTTCAAAGCAAGATTAAGCGTATGCACATGGTGTCCAATAGATGTGAGGAAACTAACTCTCTATAATCTCTCCAACCGCCTTACAATTTGCTGCATTGTCAGTAATGATTTGCACAACATTTTAATGACCAATTTCATTGACGACTTCTTTCATCAATTCAACAATATAAAATCCATCTTTTACTTCCCTAAAACAACTCACTGCCTTTAGAAACAAAGGACCATTGTCTGAGGTAGCCATGAAATTGATAAGAGGCTTTCTTGTAGGATCACTCCAGCCATCACTCACAATAGTCATACCTTTTTCTTTCCATGTAGACCTAAGTGGATCCAACAGCCTGTAAACATTATCTTTTTCTTTTTGTAGTAATGTTGTTCTTAGCTTATTATTACCAGGAGGTACATAACCATCAATTTTGTTGTTAGCAGCAAACTGAAAAGCCATGAGATAGTGTGGATTTCTCGCAAGATTAAAAGGTAAACCTCCGGTATAAAACATCATTGTTATTTCTTGATCTAGTTGGTCCCAAGTTTCAACGCCAAAAACTCTTTCAATAGGTGTCGAAATACTTTTTCTTTTCTTAAATCCAACACCAGCTTTACATGGCAACTTGAATTCTTTCGCTTGTGACTCGACTTTCTTCTCTTCATACACATCTTCTAATCGTTTCATCTTAAGTTTGTCGGTCGCTGTTGCTTTCTTGTGAATAGAAATCCCACTACCTATATTGCAAATAGAAATCTAGGGATGAGAAAATCAGAAAATCATAATACAAACACCGTAAAGATTACCTTTTATATAAAGCAAATATGCTCTAACTCTAGAATATGATCCTTTTCGAGGTTCACCGAAAATGTTACACTTAAATTTCCAACATCCTCCAGCTCCAGCAAGTTTTTCCGGTTTAGTCACATAGTCCCACAATAGAGGTTGGTCTATTGATGTAGTTGATGATGAATTGATGATCCTTGTGTTTCTTGTTTTTGAGAAGCCATAATTAATAGAAGAATGATGATGCGTGATGGTGAATGGTGAATTGGTGATCGATGACAACTGGGATATAGAAACGTTTTTGGAGTTAAAAAGTCGATCAGTTTGGGAATTAGGAGAATATGTATAGTCTATTAGCCGGTTTTGGAGTTAAAAAGGCAATGGAAAACCTAAAAGAAAATAGAAACGTTCACAAAACTTGAACGAAACGTTTCCTGCATTCCCGATACTTCAACGGAATGTTTCTTCGACATATCCATGTCGTATCCGTTTCCGAAACGGGAACTTGACCCTCCATGGAGTTTTCGTGCATCATAGCATAGTATCATTAATATTTTGCTTTTATGCGAACCGATGTCTTTTTAAAATTTAAAGTGCATGGATTATAGCATATTAATGAAAAGCCAAATAGAAAAAGACAATAAGAAATGACATGTAATTGTGGGTTGTATTCTAGCATTGAATCAAGTGATACGAATATTTGTCAACCAGTACCCCAATTTTTAATATACACTGAAACATCTCCCAATTGGGTTTAAGCTATTGGTAACTAAAGCGGGCATATTTTTCTCACCTAAGCAATTCTTAATTTATCAGCTCTTTTAAATGGGGTAAATGTAATTATTAATATGTGTAGGATAAAATTTGCACCCAAATGGCTATACACTTAATTTAGCTTCATGATATATAAATATGGTTAGAATTGCTACTCTATAAAGAACGGGGTATTGTAAGGCAATAAAGGGGGATGTCATTTTATCTGCCACAATAGTATTGTCTGTGGAAAGTCACTACAAGAACAAACAGGGGCTGAACACGATACATATAAATGGGGGGGCCAAAACAAAGATATATCCATAACTTTCTTTTTTCAGACTAAGGCAAAGTATAAACAATGTATATATCCTATATAATAAATAGCTCACTATAAAAGAAATATATCAGAAAATAGTTCTCTTGTGCTTATTTGTTTGTTTCAAAATTGTATTGGAATAGCAAACATATACATGTCATATTTATATAATCAAAAGCAATAAAAACGAGTATTCTCCTATAAATATAAAAACAAACATTAGGTTACAATTAAATAAAGATTACATACTTTATAGAAGTTTTGATTGAAAAACTATTTAAAATAAACATATAAGATAACAGTCGATATACAATTGACAACACTTTGAAAGAGAAAAGGGCAAAGTAAACTAGATATCAATTAAAAAAACAGTTTAGGCATTTGTAGAAAAAACTTCTGATACAACTAAATAGAAACTTAAAAACAAGAGTAACCAATTGAAAACAAATGCGAGGACAAAATCAAAAACCTTAACAAAACTAAAACTCAAAAAAGCAGTACCTTGATTACCGTCATCTCGTAACTCAGAAACACAATTACAAAAAAAGAACCATGCAGAGATGGCTACTGGGGAGGTGGAAATTGAGCAAGCGGTGGGCAAGATCCACGAAGCTGAACAATGGAATGAGAGCGAAGACCGGAGAACATGCATGAGCGAGATTCCATTTGAAACGACGACTATGAGGGAGAAACGAGTTCTTAGGAGCGGTTATAATTGCATTATCTTTTCTTTTCTATTTGATTTATTTCCTTTTATTTTCTCCTAATCACCGATTGCACTATATAATATTAGATTTTTATCTGTTTCAAAAATTCAACAATTATCCTTAAATAATAGGCTAATTTATAAGTTTTTTGATATTAAAAGGCTACAAACCAGGGGGGTCATGGCCCCTCCTAGCCCCTTAAGCCATCCGCCACTGAGAACAAACATGTGCTCTCAGTCACATGTTGAGGGCTCAAGTCCTGCATTTGATAAAATATATATAATTAATAATTGTACTATAGGACTAGAGTAGTGCGTGTGCGTAAGCCATTCTAAAAATGGTCAATGAATTTCACATATACATCAAAATAATGCATTTCTTTTTATTTTTATCCATTTTCAACATATCGAACCTTAGATTGGTCTTGATTTTTTTAGACTAGCATTGACTAGACTTTGACATGAGAAGAACGAACATTTGTTGATCTAATTCTCATGTCCATGGGTATCTCTAATGCATGGTATCTTATTCGTACCCATATATGCTTTACGCTGCTATCTTCCATATTATATACCAAAAACCAACTCCGTCGTTAGAAAGTATTTGCAGATCAATCTCCGACATACCACTAATAATCCTTTGAGTAATTAATAGCGGCTAGTTGTCAGCCTGTCATCATTGCTCATTGGATCCTCTCATGTAGCCTTCGCCCACATCGATATGATGTATTATTGAGATTCCTTTAAAAATCAAATGTTAGGATATCTAGAGACATATATCTCAAAATTTCCATTAGAAATATTTTTTTGCATGTAATTACTGTAATCTCCCATTAGAATATGATTGTAGATAATTAGACTATATACAGTCATTTGTACATTTAAGCAAGTGCCCTTTATTTATTAATCCCATATTTTTTGAAAACCCCCTTACACAAGACTTGCCTTATACATAATTGCCTTTTTTTTTTTCATTCTAAAAAAACATAATTGCATTTGCACGTAGGCCTTGCCCAACCTCTTGAGGCCCAAAAAGTTTTTGGCCCTAAAATTAAGAGAAATTGGCGTACGGACTTACGACGATATATACGAACTAGAGACGAGTCGGAGAGGGAGGGGTTCCAATTCCTACGCTGGGAAGAGCTAAACTACGATCAACGTCTGAATTTTCTCAGGTAAATAATTTCTCAAGAGCATCTTTGTTTATATGCGATTAATTTGGGAGGATTTTTCTATTAATGCGTGATCACAGACATATATAGTTAAATCACTAACAGTTAATGCTAATTAAACACCAACTTTATGCTGCACATTGTTCTGATAGATATTGGACGATGGATGCAATTCAATCCAACTTTAAAAATCATTAATGTTTAATCATCTTCATGTTGTTCAGTTTTACTGTAAAAAAAAACTATGATTTTCTACTGCTCACTTAGAAACTTGGGGTGGGGTTGATTCGTTTTAGTTAAATATGATTCTAAGTTGTTAGATTTAGGTTTCCATGAGTTTAACTTAGTTTCTTTCGATTTTCTTCTTTAGTTTTTGGGTTTTAATATTTATATTTATAGAGTAATGAAATCAGGAATGAGTTAGTTGTATTAGATTAGATTTTTTTTGGTCTTAATCCCCTGCCTAATATAATAAATTTTTGAATTTCATTTGGTTTTATATCTCTTGTGGTATTTGATTTACGAAGCTCTCAAATTCAAATATATATTATTTATCTTCAAATGTAGGAATGATTAGAAACAAGAATGATGATGATGATGATGATGATGCATCATCTAGCCAAGAGAAGTCCAAGAGTAGTGCAGCTTGGTCAAATCTTGACCATAATCTGCTATATTTAGTTATGATGAAACTGGGATTTGGTGATTATTATTCATTCCGTGGAGTTTGCAAGTCGTGGAGATCTCTGGCAAACTCTAATGAAAACATGTTTATGGCTTCCATGCCACCCATGTCCATAAGCATCATCTCTACTAATGATGCTAATGAGAAAGTCTGCTATTTAGAGGACTTTAAAGGAAGAAAGTTTAAAACCATCATTCATGGTTTTACTGGTGGGGAATGTGTTGGGTTAACTTGTGGTTACTTGATCTTCTTCAAGAAGACAACCCGTGACTTCTGGCTTGTGAATCCTGTCACAAGGGATCAACATCATTTCCCTTGTTTCCCAAGGGACTACGATGATCATCGTACATTAATAGGCAGGGCTATCCTTGTCTTTTCACCTTCAATAAATGGGTGGGTGTTTGTTGTGGCAGACAGATTAAACCATGAAATATGGATTTCTATAGCGGATAAAGGAGCATGGAGCCATGTCTCCTACACTCATGGGTTCATTGATTTATATTTTTTCAAAGGGAAGATATACACACTAAACGATGACATCTTATGTGAACTGCGACTCAATCCGGAACCCAAAATGAGGTTCCTAAAAGCTAAGAATTTTCCAGACCCGGGTTTCCTTCTTCCGGAGTTTGTAAGTTCCTGTGGGAACCTTTATGCGATGGATCAAGTCTTAAAGAATCAGCTTCATGAACTAGATTTTGGCGAAATGAAATGGGTAAAAACAATGGGTGATGAATATGCAATTTTTCTTAGCAGTTTGAACTATGGTGCTGCTGTTATACCAGAGTCGTTGGCTCCTCGATCATATGCGAGATATGCTGAAGCCGTTATTGAAGAAACCAGATTTTTTGCTGCAAACATGTGGTACTTTCCCCATGAATGTATGAAGGTTGATCGAATGGATGAGTGAAGCACACTGTTCCTTTTGTTTAATCCTGTAAGGTTTTCCAAACATGTGAGATTAATAAATAAAAAGACTTTTGTTTAATCTTTATTTTATATATATCCTCAGTTCAATTGTTTGGTTTTGGTGTATATATATATATATATATATATATATATATATATATATATATATATATATATATATATATATGAGTGGGTGAGTGTATATGCTTTTAATTTTGTGAGGGGTATATATAATAATATCCTTGGGGTATATATAATAATATCCTTAAACATACTTAATTATTAAATAAAATTTTTGAGAAATAAGACTCAATAGTGCTCCAAATAAAGTCCAAACCCATCTAGGGTTTGAAATGTTGGGTGGATGGGTTGGGCACATTGTATCCACGATATGGTTAGATCCAGTGTTTTAAAATAAACATTATTAATTATAGACAATATTATTTATTAAGTAATTTTAAAAACAAATCAAAATCAATATGTTGCTTTTTCTGCTTTTAATTACCAGTAAAAAAAATACTTAAATGATGATGAGAAATGACAAATAGTTCAACCCGTAATAGCTCATTCCTAAAGTTATAACTTCGTCACGTAATTATGGATACATAATAACAAAGTAATTGGCTAGAAATCAAATCATGATGATGGTGATGCATCATCATCCAGTAGGAAGAGTAGGAAGAGGTTGAAGACAACCGCACCTTGGTCAGATCTTGACAACAATGTGCATTTTAGTGATGATGCAACTAGGAGTTGTTGATTTTGTTACATTTTGCAAGTCATGAAGGTCACTTGCACTCTCTAACTGGAACACATTTATGGCATCCAAACCACCCATGACCATACATATCTCTCGTGGTAGTTATAACTATAAGAGACACTGCTACCTTGAGGAAGTTGAAGGAAGAAAGTTTAAACCATCATTCTTGGTCGTATCGAGTCTTTTAGAGAATCAGTCAAGGCCGTCCTTGTCTTTTCACCTTCAATCTCTGAGTGGGTGTTTGCTATTTTATGTAGATATGTAACAACAATGGAATATGGTTTTCTATAATGGGTAAAGGAGCATGGAACCATGTCTACTCCCCTATGGAAGTCGAGGGTTTCAAGGGGAAGATATATACCCTAAACGGGGATACACACACATTGTCCTTTTATCTCAATTGATACTCAATCCAGAGCCAAAATTGACGTTAATCGAACCCAAGAATTTCCCAGCGCCCCTTCTATTTTCACAGGATAACAAGTTCAGGTGACAACATTTATGTGACAGGTTTTCATCAGCGAGAAGAGTATGTGATTCTTGAACTTGATTTCGACGAAATGAAATGGGTGTCGCGTGAAAAGACAATGGGAGAATATGCATTGTTTGTTAGTGATGAGAACAACAATGTTGCTATTAAACGAGAGTCATGGGCTGACCCTCGGTCACAATACTGGAGACATGTTGATGGGTTTTGTTGTTGCCGTAGTCGTCGTGACTGTAAAGATAAGAGATGATAATTAGTTTAAATATAAGATAAGTATTGTTGTATTATCAGATCCATAGAATTAGGATCTTAGTTGTCAATACTTATTATATAATGATATCTAACCCCTTGGGTTGTTTACGCCAAAACATACACTTTTACTTTGTATAAGAGCCTGATCCATCTGATCTCTCTGCACCGAAACCCTATCCCAATCTCCATCTCTTTTTGTCTCCTTCCAAAGAGTATTTCTCCAATTTCTCCATCATGTCTGCACCTGTGAAATCTTCAACTATCGCCACCGCTATATCTTGCAAGTTGACTAGCACCAACTTCCTGCTGTGGAAGGCACAGGTGATTCCTATCCCACGAGGTGTGCAGTTGTTTGGCCATCTTGATGGCACTACACCGACGCCTCCAGAAAAAGTGGTTGCAGAACCCAGTGCTGTCGGAAAAGAGGCAACAGAACCCCCAAAGGAATCGCCTAACCCCGAGTATCAAACATGGGTCATTCAGGACCAGGCTGTAATTGGAGGTCTCTTATCCTCCATGACTTAGGAAGTTCTTCCCCAACTTATTCGGTGCATCAGCACCGCTCAACAATTATGGACATCGCTTCACACAATGTTTTTTGCCCAGCATCGCGGAAATTCCATCCAAATCCGCACTGATCAGCTCTCAACAACAAGAAAGGGGGACATGACTGCTGCTGGGTAGTGGGTACTATCAGAAAATGACCGGGTTTGTTGATACAATGGCAAATATCGGACAACCGATGAATGATGAAGAAGTAATCGGATATATGCTGGCAAGATTAGTACCGGGACATGGTGATCTGTTTACCGCTATTACATTCTTGAGCAATGAACGAAAGGTAACGCTTCCTGAGTTCTATTCCTACTTAATTGCGCACGAGGCTCAAGCTGCTGCCATAGGAAACACAATTGAGTTCATTTCTTCTGCAAATAATGTTTCTCGTCAAGAATCAAGCAACAACAATACATCTCGTCGCAGCTACAATAACAATAACTTCAATCAGCGAGGCAGAGGAGGTGGTCGTGGAAGAGGTTGTGGGCGTGGTCGAAACAGTGGAGGAGGACCACGCTGCCAGGGTTGTGGTATACCAGGTCACACAGCCCTCACTTGCAGGAATCGTTTTAATCATGCTTACCAATTCGAAGATTATCATAGTGGGAATAGCGTGACAACAGGAAGACACAATTCAGATTTAAATTGGTATCTAGATTGCGGAGCAACTGATCACTTGACTAGTGATCTTGACCGACTCACCATTCAAGAACGCTACCAAGGGAAAGATCAAGTCCAAGTAGCAAATGGTGCAGGTTTGTCTATTTCACATATTGGTGATTCAATAATTCCCGGTTTAAGCAAACCTCTTGCTCTCAAAAATATTTTACATGTTCCTCATATTAACAAGCATCTCTTGTTTGCTCAAAGACTTGCTTCTGATAATCATGTATTTATTGAACTTTATCCTAATTTTTTCTTTGTTAAGGACATTGCCACGAAGAGAATCCTTCTACTCGGTAGAAGCAAGGTAGGTCTTTATCCTATTCCTAGCAGCCATTCTAGAAGTCCTTTGCAGCGTCATGGTGTAACATCCGGATTTCCATGTATGGTCATTTGATTATTGATTTTGAGATATGAAGAGTGACTCGACAAGTTGATGCCCTGACTCGTCGAGTAGGATCGCGACTGATGACTAGGATTAATGAGTGGACTCGACGAGTTGGTGAATGGATTCGACGAGTCCGTGCTGTTGGCAGAAACCCTAAATCCTTGGGCATGTGCCCTATTTAAGGGTCCTTATGGCCTTCATTTGCGGCCACCCTTCCAGAGGAAAGAACCCTAGCAAACTTGAGCGTATGAAGTGAGAGAGTGAGAGAGCCATCTTGAGCCATTTGTTGTGATTTTGCTAAGGAGGAGAAGTGATCCAGCAAGAAGGACCCAAGGAGGTTGTTGTTCTGAGACTTTCCAGCAAGGAGGCTTCACTTTGAGGTAGCAATTCGACCCTTTCCTTCTTTTTGGTATAGACTTCTTGAATAAAGGGTTTCTTTACCCTTTCTTGAGTTGGGATAAGAAGCATGAGAAGTCCCAACATGAAATAGACCTTAGATCTGGACCTTGAGAGGTCCAGAGAGTCCCAATCATCCAGCTTTATGCAGCCCCTTTGGGGTTTTGGATCTTGGTTGTCATATTAAGAGCTAATTCGTCAAATAGAGCCACATGAGTGTTGCATGAGCATAAAGATTGGACATTTACGTGACTTTTGAGTGTTTAAAGGTCAGATCTATAAGTTAGAGAAACAGATCTGACCTCAGAAGGTCATTTGGAAGTTGCCCCGCGATTCGTGATCAATGGTAACCCGTCGAATGAAAGGTTAACTCGACGAGTAGGGTGAGGCCTTAGAAGGATTCAGAGGATGCGCATGAACTCGCCGAGTCCCACGAGTGCACTCGGCGAGTCTGGTCAAAGTTGGACCATTGACTGAGTTGACTTTTGTTGACTTTTAGGGTTTGGTCAACATTCAGACATTGGGACCAGTGGAGGGGTAAAATGGTCTTTTCCCCTTCTGAGAGATTATAGGAAGGGTTTAGTCTAGCCTTTGAGAATCGTTATTAATTAGAGGTAATTTACTTTGTGTACATTAGGCGGAGGCTAGATCAGTATTTCGAGTTCGAGACTTTCCGAGATTTCCCAAGGTGAGTCTTCTCACTATACTTACCTTGAGTGGTAACTTATGTGTGACCAGAGGGTCTTATGTGTATGTGATGTGTATTGAGATATCCTGCTATTTGTTTTGTGATATGCTTATAATGTATTGTATTGAGATGCTGAGTCGAGGGACCAGAGGGTCTATCAGAGTTGTGGGGTCGGAGGGTCCCACTGAGACACATTGACCGGAGGGTCTTATTGAGTATAGCCTCGAGTGGCTGTTGTGCTGTGTGTGGTATTTTGGGGAACTCACTAAGCTTTTATGCTTACCGTGTTATGTGTTTCAGGTAGTTCCGAGGATCGCGGCAAGGCACCGGCATGATTGTACACACCAGCAGCAAATCGTTTTTTTTATGATTCTGGGATTGTGTTTTCTTCTGTTAACATTTGAGACACATGTGTTTTGAGAATTATGATACAAGTTTGTATTGTGTTAAAAATGAAAAAAATTGTTTTGGAAATTTACGTTGTTACACATGGTTTGTCAAGTGTCAAGGTCTCCACTTCTCAATGGCATCAACGTCTCGGTCATCCCATTGCAACAGTTGTCAAGACAATTTTAAATTCAAATAATTTAGGTCGTTCTTTTCATAGTGAGTCAGTTGTTTGTGATGCATGTCAACCTACTAAGAGTCATCAACTTCCTTATTATAATTCAGTTCGTGTCACTACTTTTCCACTTGAGCTTGTTTATACTGATGTTTGGGGACCTGCTCAAGTGTCTCATGGAGGTTTTAAATATTATGTTAGTTTTTTGGATGACTACAGTCGATACACTTGGATTTATCTTATCAAACACAAGTCTGATGTTGAACAAGTTTTTTATAATTTCCAAAATCATGTTGAACGTCTATTAAACACAAAAATTCGTAGTGTTCAATCCGATTGGGGTGGTGAGTATCATAAACTACACCAATATTTTCAAAAAGTAGGCATAGCTCATCGGGTTTCCTGTCCTCATACGTCCCAACAAAATGGATTGGCAGAACGAAAACATCGACATATAGTTGAAACAGGTTTAGCTCTCTTGGCACACTCGTCTCTTCCTTTTCGTTTTTGGGATGAAGCCTTCTTGACAACATGCTATTTAATAAATCGAATGCCCAGTCGCACTATTAGTAATGCTACACCTATTACACGTCTTTTAAAAATTACTCTGATTACTTGTTTCTTCGTGTATTTGGTTGTACATGTTGGCCAAGTTTACGGAAATATAATACTCGTAAGCTTAGTTTTCGATCTACCTTGTGTGTTTTCTTAGGGTATAGCTCCATTCATAAAGGCTATAAGTGCTTGGATAGATCAACTTGTCGAATTTATATATCACGAGATGTCATTTTCGATGAGCTTCGTTTTCCTTTTGCATCCACTAAAAATTCAGCTGTCTTATCTCAAGTGTCTGATCCTGTTTCTTTTCCTCAAACAGAACCGGAAATTATAAATAATCATATGTGAAATTATGACTTATATCTTTTGTTAGCTAATGATTGTGATGCAGCTACAGTTACACCACCTCCAGTTCTTAGCTATCATCACATGCATCCACTTTACTACCCAGTGTTTCTCCGGAGCAACACTCCTTGACAGATGTACTAGTGTCATCATCATTGCCAGATCAATCCATGTCGCCTCCATCACCAGCAGCACCGTCAACGCTCAGCTCACCTTCCTCGGATCTGGGGATGTCTTCACCACAGCCAGCAGTCCAGTCACCAGCTGCAACCATCTCTCCAATTCCCATGGCTGTTCTAGATCATTCTCCTGGTGGTGTTCGTACGCGGGGACAAGCTGGTAAGACGTTTCCATGGAAATTTACGGATGGTACTGTTCGTTATGATCCCACCAAACGAGCATTTGCCGTTACTACCCCTGCTTCTTATCGTATGGCTATGACAGATCCTGCTTGGTTGGAAGCTATGAAGTCTGAATTCGATGCCCTACAGAAAAATCAGACTTGGTCCTTTGTTCCGCGGCCCAAGAATGTCAATATTGTTGGGTGTAAATAGGTGTTTAAGCTGAAACAAAATCCAGATGGTTCCACTGACATGTATAAAGCTCGTTTGGTTGCTCGAGGTTTTACACAACAGTATGGCATCGATTACCAGGATACTTTTAGTCCTGTTGTCAAGCCCGCTACAATACGTCTGGTTCTTTCTCTTGCTGTCTCACGTGGTTGGCATCTCAGACAAATAGATGTCAATAATGCTTTCCTCCATGGTTTCTTAGATGAAGAGGTCTATATGCATCAACCGCCTGGTTTTGAGGATCCCTCCAATCCTCATTCTGTTTGTAAGC